CGATCATCCGTATGCGAAAACTCTTGAAGAACAACCGCATAAATCCGGTGAATAATGTGTGTGGGAAGAAACTGAGCCAACTGAACCATATTCCAGCCCGACCCCATGACCCAGTAATCCTTAGCACACTTATGCACTTCACTCACAGGTAACTGAACCACAGCCCACTCCAAAAGCGGTTCTGCTAGCAGCCAACGATCCAACCAAAAACGTATGCGTCGTCCATTTTCGGGAACCCAGCCCATTCCCTTAAAAACCACCTCTCGGAAACCCACTACCACACTCCGCCAAGTAGACGAGCAGTTACTTTTAGTTACAACCCATGACTGATCATGCACATCCCCTACTTTGTATTTCTTTCGTAGCAACCGTGCCCATAAACTCTCACTATCGTTAAGTAGTCTCCAAGCTACCTTTCCGAGAAGTGCTTTATTCATATCACCCGCAGCTCGTAAACCAAGCCCTCCCTCCACCTTAGGCTTGCATATCTTTCCCCAAGATAAAAGATGTACCTTTTTTTTCTCCGGAGTACTACCCCATACAAACGACCGAGACGCTTTGTCCATTCGTTCCAAAGCGGAAGCCGGTAAGAGAATAGAGCTCATCGAGTGAACCGGTATAGAAGCTAAAACCGACTTAGTGAGTGTAATTCTCCCTGCCAAACTCAAACTCCGTCCCTTCCAACCCGCCAGTCGAGACGAAACCTTCTCAAGCACCTCACCATAAGTATCTTTATTAATACGTTTATGGAGTATAGGCATTCCCAAATATTTCCCCAAGTCTCGAGTCAAACTAATACCACTCTCCCTAGTTATCAACTGCTCCATGTCACGACTCACATTCTTTGAAAAAAATATTTTCGACTTTTCCAAACTAACCTTTTGCCCCGAGGCCATGCAAAATTTCTCCAAGACCATCCGAATAACCCTAATCTGCGTCACGGAAGCCTCATCAAACAAAATAAGGTCATCAGCGAAGCATATATGCGATAACATTGGACCTCCTTGCGAGAGCCTTATCGGTTTCCAAGTCCCATTGCCAACCGCTATATCAATTTGATGACAAAGTCGTTCAAGGCAAAGCACAAACAAATACGGAGATAGCGGATCCCCTTGTCGGATATATATGCTCTATCATTTTTTAGTTGCTATTATATAATTAGTATGAGTTTTATAAAAATGTATTCGTTCCTATTTATTATATATTATATCTAATTTTCTCATTCAGTTATACACAGAATAAAACTTCTCTCAATTAACGTCAACTACTACTACGCAAAATTCAAACAAATATTGTTTTTTCCGGTTAATCACGAAAAATAAAATTATAAATAAATAACACGAAAAAGCTACAAACGCTGTTTTCTTAAAGGAAAAAAAAAAACTATAAAACGAGGATCAAACAATTATGTCCTCATTGGTTGGTATAATATATAATTAGCGAACTATACACAAAATCCTCCTAATCATCATCAAATCTTTGCTTTTTCACCCGAAACAGGCGTTTCAATCTTTTGACTTTTTGACTTTCAACCAAAACCAGTCAACAGAGGGAAGAGGAAGAGGAAATTGTCATCCGTGACCGGCTGCTCACATCTGCCCCCTCCTGAACGGCATTAGAGTCGTTATCTGCTGCACCAGTCACACATTCACACCGAGGACACATGGTTAAAGACGAGGTCGATGACGGCTTTAGAGCTCGTAGCTCTTCAACTTCTATTTGTAGCCGTCGGTTTTGCTCTTTCAACGACCCGAACCATCTCTTTAGATACTCGCATTCCATCTCCGTGTGCTTTAGCTTACTCCTACGTACGTACACATCAAATTTTGTGTAACCATATTGTTTTGTTAATGTGGTTATGCTTACTAGCTATTAGATTAATATGCTTACGTACATCCTACGTGATTTCTATGTTTTCACCTAGATATACCAACCAATGCACATCCATAAGCTAAATTTTATCAATATATATAACGAGGTTGGTGTTTGAGAAATTTCTACTTTTAGAAGACTATTCTACCGACCTTTGCATATAACTATAAGTTAATAAACGTGTGTTGTACTATGTGTTCACATGTGATACTATATATGTAAGTGATTGCTTAATTGACCCGTAATGCCCATACGTTATAAGAAGATCATCTTGACATATATCATGTTTTTCTAGACTTCTACTTCTCGGACAAATCTAATACAGTAACGTTTGTTTCAAACATAACATCATTCTTCTGATAGTATTCATACTCAAACCGCTGTAACTAATTAATATATACCAATAATTTAATTACTATTAGATTTGAGTAAATGGTAACTATACAATGAAGGATATATATTGAAAACTCTTTAGGCTCTTCATTCATCAAATTTATAACTTTGTCGGGCTATGCAATGTAATTAAATTTCTTCTTTATGGACTTCATGAACTAACTACAATCGACGCGTAAATGTACTACGTGATACACATTCATGATGTTATGTCTATGTCGAATATGTAGAGTGTAGACAATAACAGAGAAAACATTCACAAAAAGTGTATGTGTGTGTTTAAGTTTCATAAAAAGTTAGATGTATACTATATGGGACAAACATCATAATTGTGGACTGGCCAAAGATGAGCTGAAAATATAAAACACATCATTTATTGTCTCTAACTTTGTCCCTCATGTTCCCTATCGCTTTTTTCTTGTTGATGCATTCATTTCATCCTATATTTTTGATTTAAAATCAACATGAACATTTTAGATATAGACACGTAGACACAAAAATAAGACTACGGGCTTTTCATGTGTCGCATAAAATGGATGATAACTATGTTTTCTATGGGAATCAACGTGAAACACTTGGATAAGAAAAAAAGATCACTTCTACTTTACTACATTTTTCTAAACTATAATTGTAGTATATATGGTGAATTATGTTGAGAATCTAAGTTACGATCGCACACGATCTCTTTATATATAAATATTCTGTCAACGCACTCTCTCATTAATTAATATATTCTCAACCACTAAAATATAGTTCCAAAAACCCTATAGTTTAATAAACACAATTCTATACGATTTGTAATTCTTAGTTTCCTTGATTTATACGTGTTAACTATGTATATTATATGAATGATGCAATATATGAAGAAGTAGATAGATACGTACCGAGCTCTTCGGTTTTGAAACCACACCTCAACTTGCCTTTGACTAAGCTTCAAAAAGGTGGCCAAATCTTTTTTTTGCTTCTGTGGTTTCATAATCAGCCACCCAAATTAAAAACATAATCAGCCGACATGATCATCAGAAATATTTTATTTCTAACTCTTTTCTCTTTCTTCTTTCTCTATTTCAGCGTAAGCAAAACATATACGGAACCATTAATAATTCTACAGTTATACTTACAGGGGTTAAGGTATGGTTTTGTATGAAACTCTCTTCAAGAAGATGTGATTGCTCTTTGGTTAGACGGAGCTTTTTGCGTCGCTTGCCGCCAGAGTTACTATCCTCTTCGTTGGCATGTTGCGTTGCACCCATCATATGATCTTCTTCCATCTTTGGAGTTTGGTTTATGTCAAAATCTCTCATCCCGTGATAATCACCTACCAAAGTTATTTTTAATTATATATCTTTCAAAGACGCACTATATATTAAAACTATATGATTTAATAAAACCTATGGATATGATCTTACCAGGTGATGAAGGAGATGGAGAGAAGCTTGGAATTGATATTGTTAATTCTAAAGAGCTTGAATTAGGTGAGATGGCCATGGATGAGGAGAAAAAAAAGTAGAGAATCAATAGAATTTGATGAAGAAGAAGAAGAAGATAGTGTTTTTTTCGGAAGAGAAAAAGTAAAGTTGAAGTTTTATATGATAATGGAAATGTATACACACACATGTGAAAGAACAAAAGAAAAAAAAAAGCGAAACAAAGGAGAAAAGATTTTGTGATAAGCGTGGAATATGGAATAAGGAATTAAGCTTAAGAGAAATATCCAACAAAATATGTAAAATATTTAAAAGTAAGAAACACGACAAAATATATTTACAAAAAAAAAAAAAAAAAGTTTCAAGCAGAGAGTCAAATGAAAGGAACAAAAATTGAGGGAGAAATAAAAGAGAAATGGCCAGTGGTATAATAATAATAAGTTGATGGAATAATAAAAGGAAAGATAGAATATAATTAATCAAAGAAGTGTGTGTAAGTGTGATTGGTGGATTTGGAGAGAAAGAAGAGGTTTGACTAATGTTGTGAAGTCAAATCAGATTCGTGTAATCAAATAATAATAAATACCCAATTTTTTTTTTTTTTTGGAGTTTAGTAAATTCATTTCTTTGGCCGTGTGTATAGGACTATAACGGGTAGTCAAAGTTGTTTATGCGTTGAGAGCGTTACAATGACTTTGCACAAGTAACAAGTTGCAATACTAATCTTAGAATAGTCTATACTTAAATGGATCTATAATAGATTAATACCATGTTAATTACATAAGAAAACTGAAAATTTAAATCACGTACCATCTTAAAAATATAAATATGCTTGGAATTTATAGGTTATATATTGTATTATATAGTTGTACAGAAATATAGATTTAGGTTGGCTCGGCAGGGTTTAGGAGCTACCCTTGACTCTCTCAGTTAGGAGATTCTCAATACAAATATTTAACGATTTTGATGATTTATAATTTAATTTTCGTAGGATCATACACGATATAGTTTTTAATGATATACATACACATATTGTCCACGGATTGTGAGATAATGAACTTGTTATATCATTGGTTAGGATGGGGCATGCATGACCAAAATTTCCAAAATGTCTTATATTTTTACTGGTCACTACTCATCCAATACATCCATGCCTTTCGGCTTTTGTATCCTAAGTGGAGTGGTTCTGGGACCTTCCTACCTGCTTTTGTTTTATCTAGCCGACCTTGATCCGATCCGGTTTACTTAGTGTGAAACTTACTGTGCTAAAACTTTTAAGCTAATCAACACATGAAATACAATGAAAAGAGGGTTCTTTTGAATCCTTTCACAACCTCCTAGTAAACAATCTTCAGTGATCTCTCTCCTCTTCTTCTCCTACGAGGCACATTACAACATTACAATACTATTGTACAAAACTTTTTTTTGATCTCATGAGGAAGAAGGCGAGTAAGCTAAGTTATAATTAGTCTTTTGTTCTTCACATTGTATGCAACGTAAAGAAAATTGTTGTGGTTTTAGTTATATGCAATATCCATTTAGACTGTACTTTTGAAATTACATATAACTTTTTTTTTTTTTGGGTTAACCAAAATAACCAAAACACTGAAACAGTACTTAAAAAGAAAACACAAGGTTTTCTCTCAATGTAGCGAAATCGGCACCTAATATCAAAATTCTTAGTTTGATTTGTTGTTGATTTAAAGAGTCGTCAAATAAGCAAATATTAAACCAAAAACTAATTAAACCAAAAAATATCCAAGAAAATCGAAAAATCAACTCAACCTTAATCACCAACAAGGGAAAACTTAAACGGAGCTTAGTTCGGAACAATCAAGAAATCTGAAAATTTAGTGTATTATGAACATTCCACTTAATTAAAAAATTTTACTAAAAGAAAATATATAGACTGGTTTACAAGTCGGCCAAGAAACAAAAGATGTGACAAAAAAAAAGAACACAGATAGAAAGAATAAACTAACTAATATAT